AGGAGCCGCGGGCCTCGGCCACGGCACGTTGCCACAAGCCGCACGGTGCTCGCCCGCAGCGGGCTCTCAGCCACCTCCTGGGCTGTTGCTCTCATTTCCTTTGTATTAAACTCATGGGAAAACGTAGGCTTTTCAAATCGCACCAGAATCGTACTCTAGCACACTAGGGTGTTGCTGTTGTGTACAGGTACATCTTTTATAAAGAGTTTCCATTTTCTAATGCATCTTTAAACAGAAGATAAAATAATGGCATCTACTGTTCCTCTTATTTTTACCTCCAAGGACCTTCCAAGGCCATGCAAAACTGTCCGCAGGCGAATGTCCAAAACCCGTAGTCCAAAGAGGAATTAGAACCTACTTGAACTTTTAAATCTGACACCTCAAAAGCACGTAAACAGACATAATTCTGTGTGTTAATATTTTAACTAAAGCTACAGCTACGCAGGAGCCTGCATCGTTTACTTTTACTAATCTATTTCTACACTTAATCATTTTCACAGAGCTGCTAGGGAGTGATGGGTATTTATTAAACCAAACACTGCCTAGACAGTAAAGTGGCCAGAGAACAAGAAGCTTATTAAGCTGTGAAGGAATAAAACCTGTTCAAAACTGGTTTAAGCAAAATCCAGGAACCTGGCACCTACGCTTCCTCAGCAGCTCGGCCATTTGGATTACACAGTGACCTTGGGTTCACTGCTACCACTGAAAACGCGTGTCCGCATCTTGAGTGCTAGTTTAATAATTCACCCTGTAGAAATAGGTGTTGAGCCAGAACTCGGTGAAAGTTTTGCATCGTTTGGGGCGGAGAAGCTGAAGGAGGCTGTAACGCGCGGTGAACTCCCCATTTAGCCAGCCTGGACGAACGGTGCGACAGGGACTTGGCACTGCTTCGTCACCAGCAGCGAGCGAAGAATCGCCCCGAGAGCCGAGTGTCTCCCAGCACGGTGAGGGATGAGCAGAGCACCGCCCGCACGGCACAGCCTCAGACCTAGCACGGCTCGAGTCGCACCAGCACCCCCTTCCCAGGCTGCCCTGGCTGCGGCGACGGCAGCAACCCTGGCCCCCGAGCCTTCCCTTCCCCTCACCCGGAGCTGCCACGGCTCCGACCCGCACACTCCTCACTTCTGCCTCAAAACTGCTCGGCCCCTGTGGAGCCATCGGGCGACGGCGTACCCCCACGCCCCGCAGCGGCTTTGTGTCTGCTCCTGCCCCAGGGAACTCCGAGGGGCTTTGAGAGTGCCTAATTAAATCTCCAAGATGAACATAAATCGTATCGTGGTTGAAATTCTGACAGAAGTGCTGTTCTCGCAGACTTAAACAACAAGCTTCCTAAACTTCTGGCATCCTTCTCAAAGGGTACTTCTCACCCCGGCCCCAAATTGTTCCTGCTATAGACAGGGAACAAGCAGGAAGGGTAAAGCTCAGCCGCGCACCCGCAGCGGTGCCAGACCTGAGGCTGAACCCAGCGGTGGGGAGCGCTGCTCAGCTCCCAGCTCGCCGCCCTCTCCGGCCGCTCATGCGGCTCCCGACAGTCCCGCTGCCAGTGAGGCCAAAAACTTATCTGGTCCAAATAGTTTCTGAGCCCTTCAATATACACAAAACCATTCAGAATTGCTTACAACATCTGGAAGAAATGGTGAACTTGTTTCAGGACTGAAGTCTCTCAGTAAACATGGAAATTAGAGATCAAACTGAGGGTGAGGACCAATATTTCTCATCTCTCCACCTCTGCAGCAACAGACGGGCTCCTGCCAGCAGCAGGACTGACCCACACTGCAGGCTGGCAGACAGCAAGCTACGTCCTGAAACCAGTGCAAAAATACAATACCAGCTATATGAGGATTTCCAGGACACTAATGGCTGCACAGCTCCCAGGAGAGCAATATCAGAACACGATCCTGTTAGAAATTCCTTTAAAAGGACTGTTTGCCATAAGCCTCTAATCAAATAAAAAAAATACAACTATAAATCTGATGTCTGTCTCTCACCCACACACACCGAGTATTTGTGCTGTTCCTTGTGTCACCACAGAACTGAACTGAGGGGTAACAAATGACCCATCTTCCCAGAGATGCAGGTTTCCGTCTTGTACAAAACAATACAACACGATGAGCTGGGACAATTCTTCCTTGAGCTCATATGTGCTATTCAAAAATTAAGAAATGGCCACACCGCCTACAAAAGCAGGCAGCACAAGCACCTTACTCGGACCTCATCCTCCCTGTTCCAGCCCTGGCATTTTCCAAGCACGAGCACACGCAAACAGTAGACTGCTGTTTAAAGGAAATTTATAGTGCGCTCCCATTAGAGGTTAAAACACATTCTCCTTAGCCCATACAGATGTTTAATGCTATATATAGTCTGAGTTTAATTGTATAAAATGGCTGCCAAACACCTAAATTGATATAAACTCCAGCAAAACATTAATACTTATTAATTTATTCTACCCTTACCCATCATCTCCAGAAAGAAATTTAATTTTGAAATTAAATCCAATAAAAATATAAAAGTCTCAGTGTATATAGGAGGAAGAGAACAAATTCAGAACAAAAGATGAATTAATAACTTACTAAGAACCTCAGGTATTTCCAATTTTTTGACTAAAAGCCTCAGAGCCTAATTTGGAGGCACTCAAAATGCAAAGTCAGTACGAACTCAGACCATTTTTCAGAACAGGGTTAGTAAGCCAGGCACAGTATCAGTGAATTTCTACACAAATTTACATCCTTGCTGGATACTTCCAGAGTATAGAAACACACTTCTGGTTTTCATTAAACTTCCTTTTTTTGCATTAATCTTGATTTATACAACATAAATTCTTCCAGCTTCAGTTTTCCCAAATATTCAAACCAGCCTTACTCCTGCCCTGAGAACTGAGAAGGAGAAATGCATACAAATAGTTTGTGATGGGAACAACTGTCCTAGAGTTTCTAACTTACCTGATTTGGGATTTAGAGAATCACACTGAGCATTATACATGTGCACAAACTCTTGGTGCCTTTTAACGAGCTGCTGTCGGGTGCCGTGGGTAGACAGACCATGCTCCTTTAGCTTCTTCTTCAAGTCGCGCTCAGAGAGCAAGTTGTAAACTACTTTAGACATAGGCTTCCTTTTCTGAGCAGAACTGCAAAAGGAAAAGGAAACAAACTTTTTTAATTAATACTCCTATGAAAATCAAAATGCTGCCTTACAATTTTACAGGGTATTTCACCCACCCTGGGTAAGAAATACCTGAAGGAGTCCTTCAGCCATGACAGGCACACAACCGGTTCCATGGTTTATCACAGATGCAACAGCTCTAGGCAGCCAGAAGGCTTTTCCCACCCAGCACAAAGCAAGCTTCGAACACGCGAAGGGAGTAGGCCTGGCCTGCTTTGCTTTAGGAAGCGATGCAACCACTGCTCATGGAGCAAGCACTGAGGCAGCTGCATTTTTGATATCTACAGCAAAGGCTTCAGAATCACGCCAGCAGCGTATTGTCCACCTCCACCAGGATCAAGCTTACGTTCAGCTGAATTCCAAAGGAAGCATACTGGATTCAGATCGCTGAAATACAGGTTTTCCACCCAAGCACTGGCCATGTCTTACCTGAATTGGTTGGTGAAGTTTTAAAAGTGTTAAAACTGCAAGCCAAAATTTGAATTAGGAAATTTTTCAGCTTTCTGGAAAAATGACTTGGAAAGCTACAGTCATGTACCTGAAAGCAAATCTGCAGCTCCCGACTAACAGAAGGGTAGCTTGGTAATACAGAAAGGGCCATTAAAGAGAACTGATAGTGCTCTCTGATAAATAACATCTAAACCCAAAATTTACTCCTTCACTCTGCCTTATGTCAGAAGAACTCAACGTTCCTAGCATAACTAAGGAAAACGTCTTAATTGCAGGAAACTGCCATAGCAAATTCAAGTCCTACTACAACTTTTGTCATCTAAAATGAGCAGAACAGTTTCCTTCTGCACAAGTTTGCTCAGTTTTTCCTACACCTCCTGGTAAAATACGCTCAAACAAGCCCAAGGTACAGAAACCATCTACTGCCTCGCTCCTCTTCAGCTGGAATAGTTTCTTGGTTACAGAAGAACAGCATTTCATTAGAGACGCTTTTCTTCCTGCAGCAAAATAAAGTTCAGCTGCACTGCTCTGAATTACAGAGAAGTTAGCAGCTTCCCACTGTGAAAGCCAGAGACGTATTTGATAACTGTATTCAGCACTTTCAACTTACCACGTTGAAAATAGATTTCGAAGTTAAAACCAAAAAAACAAAGGCTTAAGCAAAAATGGTCATTAAATCATTTACTGTCGTATAGCCCCTGTAGCATAGCTGGCAAACACAATACACTTTTCAGGAAGAGAATTCTTCCATTTCTTTTGGGAAATATAAAAACTTTCATTGAATAATTAAATCTTTTGAAGGCCCTGAAAGAGGTCTGTATCATGACCTAGAAGAGCGATGACAGCTTTGCAAGCAGACAGCTACATGAAAACAGTTCACAGCTTCCGAATCTTAACATTGGTGGGCCTTCCCCCATCCTCCAGAAGTGCAGTGCTCTTCGTGAGTGTACGCTTACCCTTTGCAATTACCCCTGTGCAGGTTTGGGGACTGAATTATCAGTTCCGCTGAAGTACTGCTCAGCTGGTAACACAGCATGCCACGTGCTCCTCATTTGAGGATAAACAGCTAAAATTTCTCAGGGAAGAACTCGAGTTGTGCTGTTACTGAAACCCGAACAACACTGCCATAAAATGAATAATGTTGCCAAAAAGCCAGCGTTTCATACACAATCGCCAGTCCCTAAGGAGAAGTATCTTGCATGATGTGTTCTTAAGATCCAAGCAGTCTAGATGAAATAAGCAAAGTTTAAAATGCCGTTAGGGACATCGGCTTGACACCAGGGAAAGATCTGGCTTTCATTTCCATTCATTAAGAACAGAGAAAACACTAAAAACATCCCAAATGAAAATTGCACTGTAGCATCAGATTTCAATGTTCATTTACCATTTATTCCTCTTCAAAGTCCTTTAGCTTATAGATTGCATTCTAAGCATGACTGGGCAAAATAAGAGCTTTAACATAAAATTACTTTCTAATCCAAGGTTCGGAGGAATTTGAAATACAAGCATGCAGTAAAAGCGCGTGCAGTGAAAGTCCCTTGCAGTTCTTGATTCTGCCAGTTAGAAATAATCACGGCCTACGCTTATGCTAGCGAGTAAACCAAAGCAGAATCTACATTTCTGATGTGAACGTGGCAACCGTGACAAATTCTAGGGCGGAGGCATAATGTCAGCGGCAAGCATTAATCTTATGGAAATTGAGATCTTAAAGAAGCAACCTTGACTGGGGCAACTTGAAGAGAACCCCAGTGAGCAGAGGAAGGTGCAATTTTTATTTGTTAACTCGACAGCTAGTGAAGCAATTGTCTTTTGGCCCATCTGAACCAGGGGAAGCAATTCATTTAATAAGTGAAAAATGGGAGTACATGTTATCTGAATAGAATTTTAATGCTAGTGAGCAGAAGTGTGATGAGAATAACGTACAAAGTTTTAAAGGATTCAACACAGAGAGTAAAACTTTGTCCAGTGTTTTCTTGCCACTAAAAGCCAAAAAGTAATTCTGCTGGCAATCCACATACTTTGAGAGGGGGAAATCAGCGCTGTCAGAGTCACACGGTGATTTTAGAGTGATCTATACAGCAGGTAACCAAGAAAGAAACACAGTCCACAGCATTATAGCCCATCAACCAATGTTTCTTATTTCAGCAGTGCAGAAAAGTGGCTACATGCATATAAAAGCTCCTAAAGTTGTTTCTTACCTTCGGAGGCTGTCCTTCTTCTCTTCTCTGGTCAAGCAGCTATCCAGATGTTTGTTTATATATTGCTCTGGAATAGCAACCTCACAGACAGGACAATCCACTGCAAACAAGGGAGAAGGAATTCACTAGCATGCATATTACAGCAAAGAGCAGATGTTTGCATCTGAAAAACTAATTGTTGATTGAAGAAAATGAAAATCCACATTTCCAGATTATTTTTTTTTTTTAAAACATCTGGCATGTCTGTCCAGAATCTTCATTTCTCGCTCTCATTTTCATTCCAGAACACTTATTTTCCTCTCTATGTAATATCAGAATGGCTTTCATCTTCCCTGCAGTCAGATGGAATGAAATCTCTAAGAAAAGTCTGGAATAACTTACATACTACACGGGAACTTAGGGGCTAACAGAAACATAAGCATATTTCTGTGCCAGTGCCTTGCACTTTTGCCGTATTTCACTCCTAAATAAAGGAAGCTGCTGCATTTTCATAACTCAGAACAGCACAGACTTTATTCATATTAACGTGGCGTTCCCAGCCTGTGGCTCTCAACAGGACTGTCACCACGCGAGTTAACGCAGCCCCCCAGGAGCCCTACGATGCACCCATGCCTCACACTCATTTCTCAGTACAGATAACGAGTTTTGTGACTGGGGCTTGGAGGCTCCAACGCCCCATACCATGCTCCCACTCAACTCGGAATTCTTCTTGCACCCTATTTTCAAGAAGTAGCTATGAATGTTACCTGTAAAGACAGTCAAAAAACACAGACTAAAATACTTGTCTTTAGCAATCGCATTGTGTCAAAACCGAAAGGCTTTAAATGAACAGCATGAGAAAGAGATTCTTTAACCGACATCCTCCGTATGAGTATGAAGGAAGTCGGGTTTGATTTAAAAGACAGAACAAAAATAACCTATGAAAAACGCTGTGAGATTTTGTGGGAACTGAGCGCGCTATCTGGTAACACTGCTTTGCAATTCCTGACTCCCATGACATCACATTCTAGTCCAAGGTTAAAAAAAGTTGGGACAGTAAGAGAACACAATGGTTCTGAGAGTCCATTACTGTATTTGAAGTTAACATTTCAAGTCTTAACACAGGAGCAAACAGCACCTACCAAAACCACTGCAGCGTTGCCTCATTGCAAGCCTTCCATTTATACTGTTGGACCAACTACTTTGCATTTGTGGAAATCATTTCAATGTAATGCATGCTCGAGGATTTAATAAGGTCATAAAATTGTAAGCAAGTGAAAATTTCAATTGCTCAAGAATAAACGAGCGGTAAAATTTCATAGGAGTTAAATTACTAACACAAGCAAGTCCGATGCATAAAACTAGGAAACAGAGCTTCTGGCTAAGTTGATGCCATTTTCATATGGCTACTTCTCTGGCTTTATTACATCTTTAAGCAGTATTTAGGCAGCTAATGAATAAACATGAACTTCAGAGCTCCAGTTGAATAAATTGTTAAACAAAAGAGCAGACAAATATGAACTAGTAAGAATCAGTGTTGTACTCCTACATGGTCTTTTACTTTAATTTAGGCTTTTAATTGGGCCAATAGGATGGTTGCCATCATGTCAAAACGAAGAGGATTCTGTCATTTTATTGTAGTTAATTTGTATAAACGGGCATTTTCATGCTTCAAAATAGATTAATCTTAACACTGTGGAATTGCAGAAGAATAAGGCAAATTATTTTCTTCTGGAGAATGTATGAATAGGAATATTAACAAAACTGAAACCACGATCATTTTGATTGTGGGTGCACCTCTCAAATAACAAACACATTCTAAAATACCTTGCTTCTGGTTACTTAAGGATACAAGAGCAGGATGAACGTCGATCTTGTCTGTCTAGTCATTAAGGGGAAGGAGAATAGAAAATGACTTCATTTTTTACTGAGTAAGTCTGTTGTGCAACTATTGTTTTTTAGAGTTGTTACTCAAAGCAAAGGAATCCGTAAGCATTGAACTCCATTTAATGACTTGGCATCATCCCAAACCTCCTCATCAAGAATATGCTCGTAGCAGAGCTGGCCCACATAAGCAGTAATCCGAATGATGCACAGCCCAGTTCAACGGGAAGCATCCGAACATGCCAGTGCAGCTCAGAACAACACGGAGGAAGGAGATGAACGCCACGCACTGAAGATACTCTAATGCATACAGCCAACTACAGCCACAGGCTTGGGGAAGGGAACGGGACAAAAAGAAAAAGTTAAGCATCTCACCTTTCTTGACTGCTTTTACCACAGATGTAGAAGGCTTTTCATGGCTTTTGGTGCACTCAGGACTCTCTTGTGATCCCACTTCATTGTCTGTACCATCAGCCTCTGCAGAACTGCTGTTAAGGTTATGATGTTCCTCAGTTTTGAAAATCTTCTGATCGGTTCCTGCCAAGCTGTCTGCCTTTGTCGAGGTGCAAACTTTTTCCTTTCTCAAGAAACTGTCAATCAGTGGCACCTCTTCTTTTAAAACTGGCCAAGAAACAGGACTCCTAACATGGCTTTTGCCAGCTGAATGCCTGCTGCAGGCCAGTGGAGATGAAGTCTGTGGAGTATCCAAGACCAACTGGAACAGCTGCTGTCTAGAAGCATCCAGAAGACAACGTGCAGTTAGCTACACTGACACTTAACTTTTTCTTTGAGAAGAAACGAGAACAAAAACAGATGGAGCTTTTCCTCCAATCCTTTCTCCCTCTCCCCCTTGCAGCACTTGGGAATTGGCTGGCCCACGCAAAGCAGGAGCAGAAGCACGCCAGCTGAGCCTCACCATGCTCTACAGAATCAAAGAATTATCTTCCCCATTTTCAAACAAAATAAATTACATTTTGCAAACGTAATAAAATGCCTCTCAACATGGAACACGGCAAAGAACAAGAAGCTTCCCCCTTACTTGAAGGTGGTAGATGACCATTTTCATGTTGGAGTACCTCAAGCACTGTACCAGCTGTGACAGAGGCTCCTGAAACCAAAGAGCTTAGCGGAAAGCATTGCCATACTCCTTCTGTCCCTCCTTACTGTGGCCCACCCAGCTGAACAGAACCCCAAGAGATAACCATATGCTTGTCTGCTCTTGAGATTTAGTGTCTGATAATCCCAAACTATTTCTGTCACATGGTTTCATCGATGCTCAGCCAAAGAACACAAACCCTCCGTTCTTATCTCATATGAAATAAGGGAAAAGCATCACCGCCCTCAAGAGCGGCCCACTTCAACCTCCACCAGAACGCTTACCACCCACCTACGCATGCTTTACCCCCCACTTGCACTCGTACCCTCCTCAGGGCTAGCGAGTGTCAGGATGCAAGTTAAACACATGTCTCTTTTCAAAGAGATAAACTTTTATTTTATCAGCAGGAGCACAGTAGCGGCAGAAGGCTCATTCTCCTGTCTGCCTCATTATAATTCTTCATTTTACCTCAAAGCTAAAAGTACCAAAGTCACAGTTGTCCTAACTCAGGCAATTGCAAAAGATCTTAAAGACATGTTTTATTCCTACCCCCACCCCAGGTGTTTTTGCAGAACCCTGTTTATTTTACCGTGTATTTTATACAGACTGATCCAAGATAAATTAAGCCAGAGACTGCGTTCTTGGTGGGGAGGCGGCATGGCCATGCAGCTCTCTAGACTGCCCGCAGACCTCGCACTTCACTTTCGCTCCTGCATCATCACGGGTGGAGGGAAGGCTTTCCCAACTAACGTCAGTGATGGGCAAACCACACATCCCACTCTTACCCACGACTACCTTGTCAAGAGTCCTTCCCATCCTGAGGGCTGCAATGAAGTTTGTATCATCCAGCCAAAACCAGCCAGCAGAAGTACATGTGCAGTCATTAACCTATTCCTCTTTAATTCACTGCTCCATCATCCCTCAGCAACCTGCACAGCATTCACTTGAGCTCTCCAAGAGAGCAAAGCCTGCACGGCCGCCCAGGTGTTCCTCAGCTTTCTCCCTGCCATCCTCACAACCACCACCTGCCAAGCCCCAGAGGTCCTACCCAAAAAGGCAATTACAAAAAAAAAGTTCCACCATCTTACAAGCTCTAATGAACCCCTGGGACAGCTTACAGAAAATGGAAAATCTTAAAGGAAATTAAGCCTCTCTCTAACAACGAATGGAAGAGATGGGTTCACCTCTTGGAGATACTGTCCCCAGTTGCTAAGTGGAGCAGGGAGGACCTCCCCTTCACTTCTCTTGATAGCAGGATGACACAAGAGGGAGGGGTGGGAACAAGGAGAGCTTTTGAGGGTGCTGAGGAGCCCAAGAGCCCCTACACCACACGGCAGGGTACACCTCACGTGCCCCTGTGCCTCCACCTCCCCAGGCCACGCTGTGCTGACGACAGTTCAGTATTGGGTGACTACTTGGAAAACTTTATAGTCTTTTATGATAAAGATTTTTCATGTCTGAGAAGGACAACTAATTAAGAACTGTCTGTACATATCAACTTCTTTTAAAAAGATACACAAGTCACCAGGTGACCCCACAGTTACACCAGTCCAAGTTCCTGGTGAACAACCAGGACCACCAGCTCAGCACAATGAACTCTCTGCACTGCTCACACTCAAAGCCAGATTCAGGAGCCCGATTTGGAGTTTAAGTTTCCTGGTTTACTGGATGTAATGACCACATCTGTCAGTGGCAGTTCAGATCTGTCCCAAGACACTAACTTCCTGAAGTGCAAACAAGTGCAATTAAGCGTGGCAGCAAAACTATGTGTTTGTCTGCTTATGCCTAGATATGGACTGAAGTTTTTAAGGAGGTTAATTCCCTGGCTGACACAAACACGCAGTGGTCTGGCTACTGTTGGCGTGGGACCAGCTTCATGGAGCTCAGGAGCTCCTCGGTGGGAACACGGACAGAGCGCCCTCGGGCAGCCCTGCCCCACTCCTACTCCAGCCCTGCCCCACTCCTGCTCCAGCCCTGCTGCTCACGAGGGGTGGGTTTCACCCAGAAGCACCGGAAGGGTCTGTCGGCGTGCTCTGCTCGACACGGCCGCTAGCAGCGACGGTGGCAGACAAAGTATCTCGGTTGCTGCAGATAAACACACGGTATTCTTCAACATAAAGGTTACAGATGATAGCCTCAGAAGGCTGCTCATATCACAGATGGTTAGAGTCTACAGCCAGGTTCAAAAGCAAGCAAATTAGTTGCCTTTTATTCCTAATACACTTGGGCAAAGTTTAATCCTCAAAAGGATGCAGCTGGGTGTTTGACCAAAGATGGACTTTTTAAAAATTTGTTTCCCCTTTTTGAACAAGGAATTAATCTTTTGGTTATGTAAAAAAAAAAGTCTATTTCTTCAGGCTCCCCCAGGTTTTCCTACAGCAGCCTGCCACTAAAGTAGCTAATCAAAGTAACAGTCTTAACGTTATTATTTTGGCTGTTAAGCAACCCTTTTTACACAGAAGCCCAGCATCCTATGCTACAGCAAGCTAAATTCTGCATGGCTCAGAAAACATAAAACGGACCCGTAAATGCAATCATTTGGCATCCTGTCACAGTTTAGCTTTCCCATAAAATAAAGAATGATACAGCCCCAAAAGGCAACAATATCTGAGCAGTTAGCTCCTTGCCTCTATTCTTTGTCTTCATCGAGAGAACACAGCTGCTGTCCCTCATCTTTTCGTGTGTTTTCTATTGCTTTTGAGAGCTCCTCCTCTTACCAAAGTAACACATTCTACTATTTGTAACCACCAAGTATGACTGTTTATTTTTCCACAACACGTATTCACTCGCTCAAATGCATTTCCCAATGTGCCCACACTAGCCGACTACACTCCAAAAAAGTCAAACTTCGCATCAGTTTATCTTTTCACCAGACTTATGAGTGATCCGTGTAGCTTTTTCCTCAACATTTCTTTCTCGGGAAGTATCACAGTAGTACAGCTCCTAGTACCTCGAATTCTCCGAAGCAGAGACTTAGTAGCTGGATTTGTCCCTCGGGAAGGCTGCCAGGCCAAAACACACATTCGGAGGTGGGCCTGGACCCGAGCTGGGCTGCAAACCCAAGCGAGGGGCAGCCGAGCCGAGCTCTGCGGCCAGCAGAAGCAGGCAGAGGACACACAGCAAAAGGCTCAGAGCGCAAAGCTCGGCATTTTTGTAACGAATCCTGTACGAAAGGGCAGACTTCTGAACCCAGGAGAGTTGCTCCAGAGCTGACAGGGCAGACTACCCAGATAAAAGACCATCTCACTTCAAATGTAACTTGTTAGTATTCGCAAGAAGGCAGCCAAAATAGAGAAATCTTCCGAACAGAAATTTCAGATTCTGTAATAACAGTTATTATTTATATCAATTAAAATATGGTCTGGTATAAAACAAAGAGAAAGAAACTGGGAAAACAATACAAAACCCCAAACCTCTCCTAACAATAAGGGGATAGCAAAGGTTGCTTTAACTACAAATAATCATTCAGAGTTTTTCCTTATATTGAAGGATAAAGACTTATGAACAGACTTTCCAAAGGGATCTGATTTTGGCACAGAATCAATGGAAAGAATGAGAATATGAAAACTTGTTTACCAAAACACACATGAAATCTCTGTATGCCTTTTTTTGTTTTGGTGGGAAAATACAGAAAATGGTAGTACTACATTCACAGGAGGAGAGAAGAGTCCCAGACTGGCTTTTCCCAGAGCTGTGGGCCTGCCGAGCAGCTTCACTGGCTGTGTGATGACATCTAGTGGCCCTGCTGGACAGGCACCCCAAACCCCGGCACCCCAAACCCCGGCACCCCGGGGACGGAGGAGCCGGAGCACCGCAGGCGCTCCTCGCGCAGGCCTGGGCTATGGACGGTGCCTTTAGCAACCACCGCTCCCCTCCCACACCGCCAGAGAGAATTACTCCAGTTCCTCGTTATTCACAGGAATTCTGATAGTTGTTATTGGCGCGATTCGGACAAGCCTGACTGAAGTGGAAGATTCGTCCGTCATTCCGGCGGACAGCAGAGTCAAGAGAGAGGACACGGTCAGTGGAGAAGCCCACCCTCCACCACCACCGGGCTGGCTCACCCAGAGACTGATTCTACCGGTGCAGCACAGGACAACACCATTTCCAAAAAGCTCTGCGTTTTCAACATGATCTATTATATGCTTTTAAGAATTTAACACAGACCGCTATCACCTCTGAAAGGTTTCAGCAGACACGGTTTTACCTCCCCGGCACAAAAGCAGCAAATGCGCCACAGCGGACAAGCCCCCGCTTGGGAGCACAGGCACCCGTTAAAGGCTGACAGATGAATCAACAACACGTTAGCGAGTCCTGACGTGCACGGTTATAACCCCTACCCAAATCTTCCTCCGCGACACATCCTCTTTAATCGCTGGCGTGGGCTAGGACAGGGAGTTATGCTTCGTTCAGTTTAACTACAAACGGACAGCCGTTTAACACGCTCCG